GCCACTACCCTGACATATTTTGGTGCCAATAGACTAGGAGGTAGTTGAAAGTATATGCAGAATCCCTGCCTGCAGTCTGCAAAACTTGTAGCTTTTTAAACTGCTCCCATGTCACTATGTCACCGTCACCCCTGTTTGCTCACATTGACTCCCTCTACCACCATTCCTCTCCCCTCTATCCCTGTCCCTCCTCAATGTCCTTGCTTCTCCTTTCTGACTATCAGTGGCCCCTCCATCAAGGAAATTTCAGGCATTGCCTCCTCCAGGAAACCTCCCCGACCTCTTTTATGCAGTGGCCTCTCCTTTCTTTAAAATCAAGTTTTCAAAAAGTACTTCACTCTTTAAATCTGTGAAATATTTGGAATTGGCAATCAACTTGTCCTTTCAATTTTCAAGTGGGATACCTTACAGGCTTTGAATGTGTCTAAATGACAGAAACAGTGTATTCAACACCAGTTCATTTTTACATGCCTGGCACATGGTACATGGTGATTCAACATATTCCCTTCTTCATACAGGATATTTCGGATGACATCTAAAAGGAGCAGCCCACATATTCTTATCCACTTGCTCTTCCTTGGTTTCCTATCTTGGGTTCTTTAATTTAGTTCTTTGTAAATCTGTTTATTGTCAGTGATCCTCATTAGAATGTAAGCTCTGTGAGGACAGGCACTTGATTCTATTCATCACTGGATCCCAAGAGTGTAATACAAGGCCTGGCTCACAGTTGAATGTGTACCTGAATAGATGAGTTAGCGAGAGACCCTAGAGTAGCAATCAGAGGGCCCAAAACTGCTGTCACAGGGGTGGGTATTAACAGGAGATGAAGGTTGTGTGAGCTCAAGAGAGGATGCTCCTCAGAAGCGTCAAGATCAGAAATCCAGAACAGTGTGTGTGCTGAATACTTTTGCTCCCCTCCATTCCTCTCTATCCTGCTCTGTATCCTGGGAAAGGGGGCTCACATATGTATCATGCCAATCCCCTTGCTCTTTGGCTTCTAATTGAGTTCAGCCAATGGGGACCCTCATCAGTATATCAGAGGGCAGAAATAGAGAGAAGTCCCTAGCTCCCTCCTTGCCATGGTTCTCACCCATCAGGAGGGGCTCTCCAACAGACAATGCTCTGCCTTGTTCTGGCAACTCTCTCCCCTCCTTGTTCCTTCAGAACTAGAAGTGAAAACAGGACCCACCATTGCCACCCTCAGGGTGCTTCACCATCTGTTAGTTTTCTTAACTCTGCCCACTCTTTTGTGAGTAGTTCCTTCATTAAACTCTTTCAATCATTCCTAGACAGCATAAATCCTGCTAGACACAACTCAAAAGGTCCTTGGACCAGCAACAAGGAGGAGAAATCAGTGAAATTAAGTCAGAAAACCCAGGGATATATAGCATTTAATATAATTTTGGATATGAGATATCCCCCAAATATCCTGTTAATGCAGGAATATTCAGAGGTAAAATGATTCGATCATGAGAGCTGTAACCTAATCGGTCCATCCCAGTTTGAATGGACTGGGTAGTAACTGCAGGCAGGTGGGGTGTGGTTAGATGAGGTGGGTCACTGGAAGCATACCCTGAAAGGGTTGTTCTTCCTGCTTCCCCTTCCTCTTCCTCTCTTTTGCTCTTGGCTTCTTTACTCAGTCCTAAGCTGAGCAGCTTTTCCTTGTTTGGGCCCTTGATCCACAATGTACTGCGTCACTTGAGCCCAGAGAAACCATCTATGGACTGAGATCTCTAAAATCATGAACCCAAGTAAACTTTTCCTCCTATAAATTGTTCTTGTCAGGTATTTTAGTCACAAGGACAAAAAAGAAAACAAAAAAACAAAAAAAAAACTTGACTAAAACAGCATAGAAATGTTTCTCCATCTAAATCCACTATGACAAAGGCTTAGGACAGTTTCACATGAAGGACTAGCCCCAAAGACAACCTGTTTGAGCAGCTACACCACCAAGTCAGGCTCCCAAAGAACATTCTGTCTTCCATCTCTGGGTTCACACCTCCTCCCAGTTGGGAAGGAAGGATGCACAACCCCTGTGAAAATGTGTGTCATGTTCAGCTTCCTTCCTAGACTTTCAAACAGCCAAGCCAATGACCTACACTCCAAAAACACAAAGGCCTCTTTTGATGTCAGTGTCCAGCACCTGACTAGTCCCTCTTTGCTGCCAACCATATTCCTCTCTTGCTTGGTCCCATTCTTGACCCTTGGATTTCAGTGTTTTTTGTTGTGTTTCTTTTTTC